AACCCAGCATTTAACCCTTCATACCAAAGAAACAAAGTAGGAAGCTTTCCAAGGAAAGAAAATGAATAACCACCAACAATTACACAAATCCCAAACATAATAAAGTACAAATTGAAAAAATGAACTAAACACACACTCCTCACTCACACCCCCAACCCCACCTCACCAAAACACACACACTACAAGGTACACACACAAAACCCCACCACACACACACACCCACACACACACACACCAAACCCCAAACATACACCAAAATACACCCCACACACAAACACACACACACAAAACACCACACACACACACAACACACACAACACACCACACACACACAAAACACCACACCACACATAACATACACAACACACACACATACACATACACACCATACACACACACACAACACACCCCAAAACACAACACACACACTCACACACACCACACACAAACCCCACACCACAACACACACCAAAACACAACACAACACAACACACCACACAACCACACACACACACACACCCCCACACACACACCACACACACACACCAACACACACACCACACACACCACCACACCACCACACACACACACCCACCCACACAAAACCACCACACACACCCCACACACACACCCCCACCCCACACACCAACACACACCCACACACACACCCACACCCCACACACACACACACACACCACCAAAACCAAAACACCACCACACCCCACCACACCCACAACCCCCACACACACACACCACACCACAACCACACACCCCACACCACACACACACCCACACACAACACACACACACACAAAACACACCACCCCACACCCCACCACACCCCACACACCACACACCCCCACACACACCACACCCCACACCACCCCACAAAAACACACCCCCACCCCCACCACACAAAACACACACCACACCACACACACGCACACCACACACACCACACCACACACACACCACACACACGCACACAACCACACCACACCAGCACACCACACACACACCACGCCACACACACACACGCACACATGCACACACACACAATACACACACACACACACCACAACACACACCACACACACACACACACACCCCACACACACACACAAAACACACCACACACACCCTCCACCACTTGACACAAACACTAGACACAAACACGTACCACCCCTTCCCTAACCACCTCACCTTAGCCACTACCCTCCCCCAAAACCACCTAACCCCTCCCCAAACCGTCTAACCCCCGCCAACAACCCCCCTCCCTCCAAAAACCCATCCTCCCCCTCCCCCAAAACCCATCCATCCCTCTCTCCCCCAAACCATCTAACTCCCCCCCCCAACTATCTCTACCCCTCCAATAACCATCCCCCCCCTCCCCCCAACCATCTATTCCCCTCCCTAACCAGGATGAGGCAAGGGGTTCCAAGGACGAATCTGAGAGGAGGAATGGGAGATAGAGCTAAAAAAAAGGGGAAAGGAAAGACGGGGGGAAGGAGACTAAATGAGCTGGAAAGGAAGATGGAAAAAGAGGTTAGCAGCAGAATGCAGAAGGTGGAAAACAACAGGCCACAGAAGCAGAAATCAAGATAGAGAGATTAGAAGGGAGCTGAGACATCTGAAAAGCACAGAGACAAAAGATTACAGAAGTAGCATCGGCAATGGCTACATCGAACACAGACAACAGGTCCGAAGGAAGCATGGAAACTAAACTGTATGCAGAGGGTCCCGTCAAACCCACATGGGGCCAAAACAAAGACAGGGAGCACTCTAGGACAGAAAGAGAGGTTGGAAGACATCGAAGGAACTAGGACATGTGCAAGGACCTTACCAGATACCTGTGGGGGCCAGGAAACAGGTGAGCAGGAAGGATAAACCCAAAAAGCATAGGGGCCATAACGAGGGAAGGGACTGAAGGAAGGACACTCCACGGGAAGGAACTAAAACACATCAGAGGTGCAATGGGAAGTCACGTGGGAGGTGGGAAAGGGGAGATCCGTGTTTGTCTATGGGCTAGACGAAGCTAATGGGGGAGGAAAATTATGATGAAAGAAAGCAGGGGAGAAAAAAGCGATTGAAGACATCATGAAGGTGATAGGCGAGGGGGACATGACCAGGTGGCAAATTTTCAGGGGAATTGGGTGGTTCACAAAGAAAAGGAATCGGCCTCTCAAAGTAATTTTCAAGGCGAATTCAACCCGAACATGATCCTGCAGGGAGAAAGCACGGCTGAGAGGCAAGCAGGAGTTCCGGGTGTGTTACCTCGACCGAGACAGACCCCAGGACGAAAGGAAGACAATGAAAGAGAGAGTTCAAAAACGAAAGGAGAAATGGGGGGAAATGAAAAAAGGGGAGCAGAATAACCCAGGATCAAATGGAAGGACAAGCGCACCCCCAGACACCTGCAGAAGGACTCCAGCCACGACACCCCCAAGGCAACTGAATCCAACCAACCATCACACACCGATCCCTCTGTTTCCACCCCCCC